TCTCTCTCTCTCTCTCTCTCTCTCTCTCTCTCTCTCTCTCTCTCTCTCTCTCTCTCTGCCACTTCTCCTGTCTTCCTCGTTTCGTTCCAAATCTTCCTCGCCTCGTCCAATCTTCAGGTCATCAGCTCCCTTCCGCATTCCTCTCCCTCCCCTTTGTTCACCAACAAAATTGAATACTCTTCACAAGTGCAAGGTAGACAGAGTCACAAAGATAGATAGATAGATAGATAGATAGATAGATAGATAGAGAGAGAGAGAGCATCGACTCACCCCTTCCCGATGGCGCGCGCTTACCGCCTGCTGTTACCTGCTTATGGAGGAAGGTGGGGATGACGTCAAGTCCGCATGGCCCTTATGGGCTGGGCTACACACGTGTTACAATGGCAATGACAATAGGAAGCAAGGCCTTAAGGTGGGGTGAATCCTGAAACATTGCCTCAGTTCGAATTGTTCTCTGCAACTCGAGAACATGAAGGTGGAATCGCTAGTAACCACAGATCAGCATGCTGCGGTGAATATGTACTCAAGCCTTGTACACACCGCCCGTCACACCATGGGAATTTCTTTTGCCCGAAATTGTCTCTATGATAAGCCAATAACTTCTCTCTTTGTTGGGCATGTGACTAGACCATTCATCTTAGAAACAATGTTTAGTCAGCCCTTAACTGTTCAATAGCCAAATTCTATATATCTATCTGCGCGTAGTGTTCAATATAGGTGTAAGACTGAGTCATTCATCTTAGAAATAATGATGCTCAGTCGGCCCAGGTTACCTTCAATTACAACTCTTAATTGTACTTTCTTGTTTGTAATAAGGCTATAGTCAGACCATTCATCTTAGAAACAGTGGCTGGTTAGCCTTGTTCGTATAGATGTATACATATACACAAATAGTAAAATATAGAAAATCATATTCTCAGTTCTTATTAAGCGTGTGTGTGGCCTCGGACTAAACCATTCATCTTGGAAACAATGTTTAGTCTTTTGGACTGAACTCCCTCAGAAAAAACATACAAAAAGATGTGTCATTCATCTAAGAAACAATGCTCAACCATTTTTTTCAGTACCCAAAAAAGCGAAGTACTCAAGGTCATTCATCTTAGAAACAATGCCTAGAGGCTGTTCAGA